GGTTTGTGTCCGGGAGGTTCCGGATGAGTTTCGGGGTGGTTTCTGATCATTTCGCATAAGTTTGGGTTTGTTGGTTTCTGGTGAGGTACTGTTCTTTCGCAATTGCGAACACTGTTCATCGCAATTGCGAACACTATTCATTGGAGTTTGCTGTTCATTCGCAAATGCGAAGTTTTTGTCCGTAAATGCGAACCTGGGCAGAAGACTTAAGGATCAAAACTTGGTCATTTTTCCATTTCCGTTTTGGATTTTGGAGCTCGGTTTTTGGGCGATTTTGAGGAGTTCTTCACGACTTTAATTTGGGTAAGTGTTCTATATCCGAAAGTGATTATATTTCATGATACCATGGTTATATTCATCAATTATTAGTGACTCAATTGGAAGAAAATGAGATTTTTGGCAAAATCTTTCAAAAATGAAAATGAAGATTTGGAGGTTGATTCGTTACGGGAATTTGATAGAATTGGTATGGTTGAACTCGTATCGGAATGTGTTATCGGATTTTGTGAGTTTTGTCGGGTTCCGGGCACGTGGGCCCGGGAGTTGACTTTATTGACTTTTCGAACGGAGTTGAAAATTATTATAAACTAATTTATTACGAGTATTAGAGTATATTGTTATTGGTTTGTATATTTGTTTGACTAGTTTTGGACCGACAGGCATCAGTTTGAGGTGTTAGAGTGGCACTGGAGTTAGTTATGGAACTTCGGAGCGAGGTAAGTCTCCTGTCTAACCTTGTGAGGGAAAACTACCCCCTAGGTAATATTTATTGTTAGGTGCAACTAGTTGCGGGTGCTACGTACGCATGAGGTGACGAGAGTCCGTACGTAGCTAAAGCATGTTTATGTCCGGGTAGACTTAGGACTTTATCATGTAATAATTGAATTATTTGAACTCGTTCTGCTGGTTTAGTTAATTAAAGTTAAAACTGAAATTGATTTAGAAATAATATATGTATACTAGGCCGAGCCTTATCACTTTGAGTTGTGGGCGAGTTAGTTGAGAAACGGTAAAGATTATATTCATTTTGTGCTCATGTACTGTATGGTAAGCACTTGTTTCGTAAGTCGGTAACTTCCTTCCTTTCCTATGGAGCGGGACGAACGCCTCGGCAGTATCTAGATGCATCTACGGTTCGTGCCGCATGACCCTCGACAGTGTACACATTATTCTGGATCGGGCCGAATGACCTCGGTAGAATCGTGCATTAAATCGCTAGTAGTCCGAACATCTACGAGCTAATCTTTCCACTGATGTACGGCATTTTATATGGTATTTCCTATTTATTTGATATGGGCACTTGACATTTATGAGCCGTTAATGTAGAATACGAGATTTAGAAATTTGTGCTTTAAAAGAAATCAATGAAAAACTATGAAACTACAGATTTACTCCACTATTGTTGTGCACTTCATACCTCGTCACTACTTCTCCGGGGTTAGGCTAGATACTTACTTGGTACGCGTTGATTTACGTACTCATGTTGTACTTCTGCACTAAATGTGCGTGATCTGACAGGTCATTTGGTGATCATCTTGGCGCGTAGGCGCATCTGTGAGGAGACTTTATGTGAGTTGCAATTCAGGTATCGCAGCCCACTGAGTCCCCATTGTACTAATTATTTTATCCTGTCTTATTTACATTCTAAAAAGATGTTGTATTATTATTGTACTCTTAGAAAATGCTCATGCACTTGTGACACTGGATTTTTGGGGTTCTTACGAGTTGTTTGTTATTGTATTGCGTATTTATTATCATTTTACCCTGAGAAATTCTATTTCATACCATTAAGAGTATGAGATCATGATTTCGAAAGTAATAAAATGAGTAAATAAATTGATAAATCAACGTTGACTTGCCTGACGGCGGCGTTAGGCGCCCTCACGACCTAAGGTAGATTTTGGGGTCGTGACATCAGCTTCTTCAACCATATATTCAACTTTGTCTGGCAAAGTCATTCTAGAAAGCTCTTCTGGGGCTTCAATCATGTTGGTGAATTGAGTAAAAGAAAAATATGAGGGAGTTAGTCATCATATGTATATAATTTGTATATAATTTGTAGTTATATTATCTGTACCATTAACATGTACAATTGTTGTGTTAAGTATGTCAATATTTTGTGTTACCTTAAAAAATTTACCTTGATCCATGATGGTTTGACATCCTCTCTTCCAATGCAGAAATTCATATCTTGTCCTTTGTTGCTGTCGAGTTAAGTATACGGGGGATCGAATTACCAACCCTTGTACACTATCTATGTTGACTGTAGAGCAACACTAATACAACCAAATTTGTATAGCGAGTGAAAAACCTCGAAGGAGATAAAAATGCACAGAAGGGTTCAACTTATGCCTAACAAACTGAAGAAAATATGTATAAGCTTCTATACCCCATGCGAAATTCGCATACTGCCCTGAGTCAACCAAATAGAATCTAAAGTGGTCTATCAAACCATGATCCTTCTCTGAAGGATAGAGGAAGAACTCTATAAGATACATAATACATAGCTTGACTGCATCCTCGTCCATCACCCAACTACGGCTGGTTACAATTTGTTTCAGGTACGACTTCTCAACTTTTTCCTTGTTCGAAAAATAACTCCTCATTGTTTTAGTATCATATTTAGGTGTGTAACTAAAGTCGGTTACTTCCGTAAAATATTTGAAGCCGGTAATAAGAGCAAACTATCTCAACCCAAAGTTTATCCTCTCACCCTTTATCTCTGCTGTAAAAAAAAAAAAAAACAGACCCGAATGTGTTCAATTCGTACTTCATGAGAAGGTGCATTGCCTGATTTTGGATACATATTTTGTTTATGCGAAGAAAGTTCCCAAACATGTCTTCTTAAATAATTTTATCCCATTTCCAAACAATAATACCTTGATTTGGGCAGGAACAGCAAGGTCGAATAATGTTTGAAACCTAGTAATGTCATAATCAACATCATGTGGTGTAAAAAATATCTGATTTTGCATGAAAAGAAAAAATAAGTTAATAAAACATGTTAAAAAATAAAAAAACAAAATAATAACAATTCTGCTACACTATATCTACAGATAGAAAGACAGTAATGCATTGCAGACAACAATTGAACTACAGTGAAGCTACAAATGATCTGACAAATTTATGTTTAGAGCAAGAAAAATAGAAAGTAACCTACATTTAAAAATTGAGAGAAAAACTAACAACTGGACATAATATATACAATTTGTTTACAGATAATGAAATTAACATCTACAAAGAGAGCAAAAATTAACCAATAAAATCAACTAAATCATGTAATACATACCTTAACAAAATTATTTCAAATAATATACAACAATCTACAATTTTCAGTAATATGTAAAAAATTAATAAACAACAAGAAATATAAACAATGTAGACAAAATTTCTACAATTATAGAACAACAAAAAATTAGGTATCAGGATGAGAATGAAAACAACTTTTTAACTAAAAAATAAAAAGCAAAAATTATAGTTACTACAATTTTACCTACTCTAATGATTGTTGGGATATGTTTTTAGGAGATTTTTGAACCTTATTCCTTTTTGAAGGTTTGCTAGCAAGAGAAGCTTTGATCTTTTTTTGCAGGTTTCGGAATCACTTTTTCTTCGACGAAATCGTCATCACGAGCAATTTCTTTGCCCTTCCGTTTTACTGATTTATCAGATGTCGAAGCTTCAGCAACATCTCTGTCATGCTTGAGTTTTGTTCGCGCCTCTGCCCTAACTTTACGAGGGGAAAGCTTGGATTTCCTCTCTGGTGTTGCACGTCGGGATTTCACCATATTTTTGGGTGAATCCTGTGAGAAAGCACCCAAATTAAATGTAGGAATATCACCATCAGTAACTTTTTTAGGGCTTTTCCTTAGATTTCCTTTCTTCTTTATCGTATGGGAAGGAAAATTTGAATCATTAAGGATTTCGTAGGAATTTTGAGAGAGAAATCAAAAAATTTGAGAGAAAAATTGTAAAAACTTTTGAACAAAGATGGAAGAAAGCGTGAATGGAAGAATAGAGGATAAGCATTGTGGGGTGTGTGGGTAGAGAAACGTGGGGGGATGGGATATGTACGTTAGATACTGAATAGCGTGATTAAAGGAGTTAACTGATATCTCAATTAATTCCTAAAATGTATATAATTGATATATTGTATATGCCCGTGTAATTAAATTAAAACTTGAGGGAGGATAATAAGGTTTCATATAGTGTACAAGAAAGTAAAAATCCTATTATTTTTACTGTGATCAAATCAATTTATAAAATTAATCTTGTTGCATATACATGAAAATATTCTCTTCTACTACTGCTAATTACATTGAAATAATACGTAAAGTCACTTTCTTTCACGCCACATAAAATGCTGACAAATTCATCATGATAAAAAGCTCTTTAAGAAATACCATCCAACTATAAACTATACGGTGGTAATTGTATAAATGACTTTCTTGTTTTCATACATATTAGAACATTCTTTTTTATTTGCACCGAACGTCCGAGTCTCTAAGAGCCCCGACTAATCCCGGGGGTGCACAAGCCCTCGGCAAGGAATTTCCCGCAAGTACACCACGATTAATTCAGATTTTTACCCAATCTGATTGCCCTCAGAAATTGTTAGCACCCAGTGGGTTTCGGACTTGAGACCTTGAAAGGGAGCACACTCCAAGGCTCAAGTCTATTGCCACCAGGCCAACCCCTAAGGGTTCATACATATTAGAACATCTAAACAATATTTCAAACAAACAAGAAAAGAAGGGATATGACATTGTATAACTGCTCTCAAAATAATAGACGAAAAATATAGATTTTATATATATANTATATGTATATATATATATATATATATATATATATATATATATTAAATAGTTTCTAAAGCGGGCTAAATGTGAAAAAAGCACAAAAGAAGAATTAGACGTATGAAGAATATCTCGCGCTTAATGGAGAGTTGTTGACTCAGTATTCAAGCAGGGGGAATTACGTGAGAGCCTCGCCAACCATAACTGAATAATCTTGTAGTCAAACAAAGAAAAAGATTGGATAAAAGGAGAATACATGAGTACTTGCTTCAAAAGAACACGTGAAAATTTTATTTCAAAATTTCCTTTTTCAAATTTTTTGTAAAAATTCAACAAAATGTTTTATCCTGTGTTTTATGCAAAAAAATAGAATCGTCCTCCTACTGAAGTTATAAACAAAAAAAGGTACTTTCACGGTAAACAAATGCCATCGCAGAGAGCTATACCGTTATCATAGATTGACAAATTTTCACCCTGCATTGCCGTTAATGGCGTGATCAGCTACAGTGTCGGAGCACAGAGCATTAGCTTCCCCCAAATCTAGTCTGTTAGAATGCCATCACAGACTAGGAGACGTCAGGATTCCATATTTAGAAAACAGAAGTAGCACTCTTTGGATAGCACGAGCGCTGTTAGAATTCCAAGATCCAGCTGAAATATCGAACTAAGTAGAATAGACAGGCAGGCATCTATGAATTGGAAACAGGAAAGACGCCGCTTGAAAGAGAGTCCAGTGGCTCTGGTCAGGAGACCGATGATATAAGTTGCCTATTAAACCACTGCACAAACCATGTCGGCACCAAGGGTGCAAACACAGACATAAATGATGAAACTGTAGAAATGGGTGGCGGGGCCAAGCAAAAACTACTCAGTTATGCAGATAACGAGACAGGATTTCACCGCTCATAGCCACTTATTGATTTCTATATATCCTAGGACTTGAATGTCTAATCAATTATTCCTGCAGCAGCACAGCAGGGGATAACCTTGCTGAGAATGAAATCAGCACAAAATTTAGATGTTGAAGCTCCCAGTCCAGGTCCTGACAAGTCAAGAAGGACCTGAGATTCAGTTCAAGCCAATTAAGAGGACCCTAGTTTTTCCCCTTCTGCAGCTTCAATAAGCTTCTTGGTTATAGCAGATATTACCCGATCACACTTGAGAAGGCATACAGTTTGTCAGTGTAACTTCCTCTCGAGCCTAGCAAGTCTAGCTTTCGCAAGACATTCGAGAGAAGGAATAAAAGCTAAGGCAGCAAGGTACCCAGAGTTATCAGCCAGCTGAAGGAACCATTCGATTTGTTTAATGATATGGTGCTGGTGGATACTTGTCCATTACATACTAGATCCATCGCACAATCAACGAAACGATGCAATCACTACTTCCTGCTCTTCTGAACTTGATCTAATCCAAGGAAGCCATGACTCTGACTGAAACCACATCTCATAGCATATCATCTTCAAATGGAAATCCTGCACATTGCAAAAGTATGACTCATAATTGAGAAGCTGATTGCAAATAACTTGATCAAAATAGCCAACGAACATTATTCTTTGGTCAGACTTATTGTAAACCGAATATTTTGAAGGCTAGTCATGGTCCAGGAGTATCTATGCACTAAGGTATCTGGGAGAGGTCAAAACTGCCTATTGTCAATAAAGGAATCATCTTAACCAAGACTTGGAACATTATAGAACATAAAGATGTAAAAGAGCTACTACTATCAGACTCTATCAACTCACAGGAAATTACCAAGTCAAAACTAGCAATATAACATTACCTGGTGACAAGCTCACCTATTTTGACCAGATGGCAACAGGATTCAAAAGAACAATAAGACTTAAACGTAAGAGTGGGACGGTTGGTGGAGAAAGATAAGTCCATAAATCAAATTTTACATCACAACTTCACACTCCTCCTGATGAGAGCACAGGAAGTGCTGCCATTGATATATCACATTTCCAAACTTCTCAAAATTTCCGAGATACAATACCATTATCAACATGTTTGAAACAATTCATTAGCTCACCACAAGATTAAGCGATAAAGATTACAACACATGCAATTTTGCGAGTAATGAATCAAGTGAAGAAAATAACCACCAATGTATGCACAAAAGGAACTGCACAATTTTTGACAAATCACATGATCTATTTTACATGGAAAAAGAGACATAAGATGTCGCTAGTGCTTCATTTTTCAGCGGACAGGAGCCACCCTGATCTTAATGCAAGGATGGACCAATTCGTTTATAGTCATCTTAGGAAAAATATCTAACCCGAGCTCCCAAAAAAAGACCAACAGCTGCTGCCATATGCTCTCATGTCCAGCTCAGTCCACACCCTCTTCACCTTGTGAAATTGCGAAAATCAGGGCCATGATCAGCCACCCGAATAATCCATACAAGCTTGTAATCAGAGAATAAGGATGAGCTGCCCAATTGGACAGCACATTAGCCTCACCTTCATCTTAATCCTGAAAAGGAAAGAAAGGCTTGTTATCATGAATTGAAATGCTTCTTGTTCACAATCACAATTGCGATGTTCAGGAATATGCCACACGTCCCCAAAGCAAAGACAAAGGAAAATAGAGTAGAGGAAGAAAAGTACCTTTTCATCACTTCGCAGAAGAAATACGTCGCAAGGAGGAAATCCAGCTGCTGCCATTATCACCATCATGAGTTGTTTCAGCAGGTAATGCAGGTTTTGTGGCGTTTGCTCTTGGTAAAACAGGAGCTAATGAAGTAGATGGCATGTGTGCACTACTTAGTACCTACAAGATGAAAGGGAAGTTAATGAAAAGCCTACTTGGGCTGAGATAATAATAATAATAAGAAGAAGAAGAAGAAGAAGACATGGTAAACAGACAATGCTAAAAGCGAAGAAAACTTTATCTGAAACAAGGCTATGAAAAAGTATTACTACTTACATTTCTCTCAAGATTGGCAGAAGTTAAATTCCTGTTAGTTGGTGACTTAAATTGCATACGGATTCCAGGACTGGAAGGATTGTTCAGTCTTATGCGATCAGTCACCTCAGCAACATAAGGTCCATTGTTGCCGGTAGAAACTGTAGAAGGAACAGCTCAGCAAATTAGCCTTATTACAACAACAGAAAGTGACTTGACATCCAAAAAATGCAAGTATGTTTCCACCAGCATACTTCTATCTTTAATTTATCTGCCAGTCCTTTACACTTTAATGCTGGATTATAACCACTCAACCCAGAATATGGAAAGCAATTTTGGCTGGTAGAATCCAGAGAATGCAAGCCACAATCACGAAAAGGTAAGAGACTCAGTTACTAACCTTGACGCTTTTCAACATCCATTGGAATTGCCCGGCTGCTCTCACCGACAACTTGCTGCAAAATAACAGCGCTAGTTCAAAAAAAGCTGGAAAAAATCAAAACTTTTACAAAACCTAGTTCATGCAGCTATCCTTGACTAAAAACTGTATTATTCAGACCATTGAAACGGAAATATTTATTTAAGGAAGTAACAAGAATGTAGAAGCTAAAAGTATTCTGGGTCATCAAATTGAGAAGTGACTAATCATAGTCAAAATAAATTCAGGAAATATGACAAGCTAAGAACGATACCCGGTGCTGTGGTTTACTTGTTTGTGCCTGTTGGTACTTTAGGATGGTCCAATCAAATATGTAATCAAATTCATATCCTGCATGACACATAGAAGCGTGTCAGTTGAACTCTGCCAACGGATTTTTATGTTATCAGCTCAGTAGGATATTTTAACAGAGAACAATGGTATTGTCCAACGACTTGATGTAGCTTAATTTTTACACATACCTTGACGGGTAAAAAGCTCACGGAATAGGCGCTTTAAAAATCCATAATCAGGCCGTTGATCAAATGTCAACGAATGACAGTAATGGAAATACGAAGCAAACTCAACGGGATGAGACTTGCATAAAACCTTCACCGATAAACAGTCAAAGAGTCAGAATAAGAACCTTAAAAATACTGTTAAAAAAAAAAAGAAGACAAAATGAGCAGTGGATAGGGAAGCTATTCAGTGTACACGTGCCTCAATAGGAGTTGATAACTTCTTTTGACATATTTTGTCATACTTTTGCTTCTTTGTGGCAGCTTTTAGACCCTGCCATGGGAGGCTGTTGAAGAACCAATATATTGGTCAAAAAAATATTTGATACATGTGCATGTAGAAGGACCAAAGAGAAAAAAAAAGGTTTAATCTAATTGAAAAAAACACGCACCTGCCTCTCAAGAAATAAAGTAGGACATATCCAAGAGATTCTAAATCATCCCGCCGGCTTTGCTCTGTATAACATACAAAAATGATTTAAATGTTAAGAGAGGTTCTGTTTTAATAGCTTTCTTTCTCACAGGCAGGATAATGGTTACTTATTTTTCTTTCCAAATTCTTTATGGGCGATATGATGGGGAGAGAGAAACAAGCAAGGAAAAGAATATCTGTGCTTACCAATTCCGAGATGAGTATTACAACTGGCATAACGTGCAGTTCCCGTTAAATTTTTGTTCTCTCTGCATAAAAGAAAAGATACTAAAATTAGATCTATAATGCTGCATTTCAAAGACTGATCGAGGTTCTCTTTTCGAACTTTTGACCAAACAAAATTACAATCAGGCATCAACACTCATGAGAGTACCTGGAAGCTTAAAGGTAAATGATAAGGATGAAATTAGTTCAGATTAGAAGATTTAAAAACTTAATACCTGTAAGGAATATGGCGATTTGTAGTCGCATCACGATATCTTTTAGCAAGACCAAAATCAATAATATAAACCTGAAATTTACACAATGAGAATAGTATTTAATCAGAATAAAAGAAAAAGAAACAAAACAATAAAACCAATAAAAAGAGGTGGAATGTAGAGTACCTGATTTGCTTTTCGACCAAGACCCATCAGAAAGTTGTCAGGCTTAATATCCCTGTGTAGAAAGCCTTTAGAGTGTACATATTCAATTCTGGTAATCTGATAATAGGAGACGCACAAGAACCTGATTAGCCAAGCTGCTAAAAAGGAAAAGCCAGCAAGAAATTCAAACAATCTTAATTTAACCAAAAGAAAGTTCAAACAATAAATTGAACATGTTGCAAAAGTCCTAAGAATTTATTAGAAAGGCACCAATCTTTTTGTTCTGTTTAAAAATATATTAAGATTTAATACTTCTCCAATATCTATGTGACATGAAAATCATTGACACAAAAATCAGACAGATCAAACATAGACTTTGGTGCAGTTATGTTAGACTGTATCCCCAACAATTTTACTTAAAAAGAATTGCTGAGAACCATAATGGATAAGAATATTGGGAAGGAGGGAGTCCAATAGGTAGAAATAGCAGCTATTGGCAGACAGGTTCTAATTGTACAGAAACATAGTCACACAAATGTTATAAGAATGTTGAGGGAAACCGTTGTTACCATCTGGTCAGCCAGCATTAAAACAGTCTTCAATGAGAGCTTCCGGTCACAGTAGACAAAGAGATCTTCCAAACTAGGACCCAGCAAATCCATGACCAGAACATTGTCATCACCATCCACACCAGACCATTTTATATGTGGTATACCACCTAGAAAAGTACAGATAATAAATTACACATTATCAGTATTTCTGACCATAAAGTGCACAAAATATACATCAGCATCACCCAAAAAAATCAGTAAAAAACATACTTCCTCCTTGGAGAATATTGTACAACTTGGCCTCGTACAGAAGTTGAGGATGTTTAGTCTTATTATTCTCCTGCAAAAAGTTTTTATTTTCTCATGTTAGATCCCAGCAAAATGTGAATACCATAACATTAAAAGCAAAAGTTACTAATAATGCAAATAACCAGTGGAATAAAGGGGGAAAAAAAAAGAAAGAAAAAAAACACAGAAAACCGTGAAAATACTCCAAGATCATCCTACTATAACTGTAATCAAGGAAATCTGAGTCCGCGATTAATAAATTAAATGCTTTGGCTAGGAAAAATTAGTAAGATTGCATTTAAAAAATAGTTAACAAACTCTAGTTATCATATATAGCAGAGAGACTCCACAAATAGCTGTCTTTAAGCTCTCTCTTTTCTTATAACGATGGTGTTTGGGCCAGCTTGTACGCATCTTAACACTTCCACCGGAAACCTACTACCTCCCGCCAGCACATGTATTATGGTTCTCCTCCCACTTCACTGACCACCAGGCTACTTCTCCGGGTGCTAAATAGCTGTCTTTAATCTCATATGCACATGATGAGGACTCCACAAAGGAAGTACAAAATTCCAATAATAATTAGACTTAACTAGTTTACCTTCGTGATACAAAAAGCACTTATCACATAAAAAGGAAACATAAAACAAAATCAACAAAATTCAAGGCCTTTAAGCAAATTTAAAAATAAAAAAATAAAAACTCACAATTTTGACGGCGACGATCTCAAACGAATCAATATGCGTAGCTGCAAAAACAATACAAATCCACACATAATTATCAAAAATCACATCAAATTTAAAAATATCCAAGCTCAATTAATAAAATAATGCTCGAAACATATAAATTACACTTACCGAGGAAAATTTCACCAAACGATCCACTACCGATTTTACGACCAAGCTTGAATTTACCTCCGACGATCCTTTCCATAGCTTAGATCGACGGCTCAGATTAGATCAGATCAGATTCTTCCAGATCATGAAATACAAAAGGTGTTTTTTTGAAGATTCGGAATAGTCGCAAATCGAAATACACAAATAAAAGAAGGATTTGTAATTGAATTATCTCTAGAAAAACGAATAACACCGGCGAAGAACGTGAGGATTCTCCGGTGAAAAAGACGGCGGAGTTTGTGTGTGTGTGTGGGGGGGGGGGGGGGGGGG